CTGTATAAAGTTTATAAAAGTTTATTAAAAACTAGCAAAATTAAACGCGCGCAAGCACGCCAAATTAGGTATGTAATTGTTTGTTATAAACAAATTAAAATGAATATTATCACTAATAATTTAAATTTATTAGAAAATTAATACATATTAAATTATAATAATAAAAATTATGTTTATATAATTAATATTTACACTGAAAAAAAAGTTCTGGTTAAAGTTACTAGATGCGTTTGGTTAAAAAATTTCTAGTTATTTTAACAAGAAAATATAGTTAAAAAGACTAAACAGTTCTAGTTAAATAAGTATGGTTAAATTATTCTGGTTAAAATAATTCTGGTTAAAAACGCGCGTTCGCGGACACTGCATAGCGTCTGTTGTTCTTTTTCGAATAGTTTATCGTGCGGATCGCAAGAATGGATGAAAAAGTTAACCAAGCTCTGGAAAATTGGGGTTTGGGAGAATTAAAAGATCTGTTTAAAGGTTGGTTAATTAATTTTATAATATAAGTGAAAAAATTGTTGACGAACGGCAAACCCGTTCGTGTGGAAAATAGTTTGAAGGTTATGTTGAAAACGTGCTCGACACATTTTATCAGAATTTTAGTTCTGAATAATCATATTTAAATAAACATTATTAAGAGAATTGCAGTGTAAAGGTGTTATTGTTTGATTGCATTTATATGTACATAATACAAATTTTTTTAATTCATATTTTATAATATTTTATAATATAATATAATAATAATAAATTTAATTAATTCTCTGATTAACTAGAATTTCTGGTAAGATCAACCAGAAATTTTTTTACCAAAAATTTTTAACTAGAAAAATTCTAGTAAGATTAACTTGAAATTCTGGTTAAATTAACCAGAATTTTTTAACCAAATTTTCTAGTACTTTTAACCAGAAAAAGTAGTAAGGGTATATATAACTTTTTATTCTGGTTAGATTAACCAGAATTCTGGTTATTTTAACCAGACTTTTTTTTCAGTGTAATAGAAAATATTTAATAGAATTGAAACGAAACTAAAGTACGCAACGTTTATCAACAAAAACATATTTTTTTTAATTTAGATATTACGTCTAAATTACATATATGAGGCGCCGGATATTATAACGATACATAAAATTTCTACAGCGGTATTCGTTGGCCCCTGGCACCTTAAAAATCAATTTTTAAAAATCAATTTTTTCAAATTACTATTTTGTACGAAATTTCCTGGCGCATCTTTTTTCTTTTCATAAATTTTTCTGTATTTGTAACAATTTTTGAGAAAAAAGCAAAAAAAACTAAATTTTTCTAATATGTATCACTTTTAATTAAAAATTTCATTTTAATTCGTTATAAAATGTTAAATTCTGAATACTTTTGCATACAATTTACAGGATTTATAGTTTAAACTATTCTTTGAATGATCCTTAATAAAAATTCATTTTTAATTTCAAAAAAAAATTATTGTTTTTGCTGCTCAGTGCTGCAAGGCTTTATATTTTTCAAAAGCTTCATTTATCTAGGGAATTTTCACTGAGGATAAATTTCCTCTAAATAAAATGTTTATTGATAATAAAAAAATGCTTATTAAAATAAAAATTTACAAATATCTTTATTGTGTATCAATAAACATTTTATTCAGAGGAAATTTGTCTTCAAGGAAAATTCCCTACATATAACCGTTTGAAAAATATAAAGCCCTATTCTAACACTGAGCAACAAAAAAATTAATAATTTTTTTTCTAATTAAAAAATGAAGAATTATTATTAAGGATCATTTAAAGGATAGTTTAAACTATAACTCCTGTAAATTGTTTGCAAAAATATTTAGAACTTTTCATTTTAGAACAAATTAAAGTAAAAATACCGCTGTAAAAATTTTATTGTGTCGTTATAATATCTGGTGGCTCATATTTAACATAGGCGGAATATTTATCTGAAAAATGCTTTAAATATTCCGCCTACAATAAATATATATGTAATTTAGGCTCAATATACAACTTTAAAAAAAATTTTCGTTGATAAACGTTGTGTACTTCAGCTTCGTGAATTGAATATTTGAATTTGAATTTGAATTTGGAATTTTAAAGAAACTAATTCCGAAATTCGGAAACTTGGCAACTTTGGCAAAAATGAGAAAAATAATTGTCAAAATTTGACACAAATTTGATACGTCATAACATTACAATTCAAAAAACACGTGAAATCAGTAGACCAACTTCAAGTTAGGGCAGAAGGACAGACCAAGCATTTTATTATTATATAATTAGTATTTTTTATATGGAAATTTCGCTTTTTACAATACTTTCCACAACTTGAAAATACTTTTACAAAATTTGAAAATGCTTTTATAAAATTTGATATATTTATTTTCTTTCCGTGTAACTAATGAATTTTATAGAATGTTCATATTGCACCCCTACTTTAATTCCCTTGAAAGGAATATTCAATCAGCAGAACATTCAATTTTCTAAACTGGCAAAATTAGTTGGAATTATCGAAATTAATATTTAGATGACAAGCATTAGAGAGAGAGGAATAAACCGCAGCTGCGCTCATGAGGGAGTTTTTTTTTTTTTTTAATCTTTAATGTTGAGCGCGGCATATTATAATTAACTGTGCCATGTACAATCCACCCCCATGTTCGATTTAGAAGAAAAAAAAATTCATGAAACTAAAGGTAGTGACCCATGGATGGATGGGTATATGTACATACACGAAATAAACATGTATATATATACGTATATATACCCCCATGTCAGACCCCCATGGCACGCGTCCAGGTGGATCCGTCCGTTATATATATATATATAGAAAGTGATCCATCGCGAGTTACACTATTTTTCAGCTGCCTAATTTTCGGCGATTTCGTTCTGATCCACGTGACGATTACTGGCAAAAGGGATGCCTAACCACCCTTAGCTATACGGAATATCATTAATGAAATAACATCCATATATATATGTACTCAATGACAACTTCAGCAGGGTATATATATACTTGGATAGCACACATCACGTCACGGTGCGTGATTATTAGTTATTTGTCTGGCCATTTATCATGGCTTCCGGTTTTTTCGATTTTTTTTTTTTTATATTTTCCTTTCGCATATTTTAAACTTTTAATCTCGCTTTTAATTTTATTTACACCGAAAAAATGTAACTCTATAAATTTAAAAATACACTGAGAAAAATGTTTAGTCAGAGCAACCAAAATTTGGTTGGGCCAACAAAAAAATTTTGTTGGTATTTAAGCAACCAAACGAAACTAAACTACCCATCCTTGTGAGAGATTTAAGCTAACTATTCTCTTAAGCTATGAGCTGAGAGCGAATCAAATTATTTGGTTGTTGCAACCAAATTTTGGTTAGGACAACAAACGATCATTTGGTTTTTTAGACCAAACTGTTTTGTTGTGTTAACCAAATTATTTTGTTGTCGTAACTAAATTTTGGTTGGCCTAACCAAATGTTTGGTTGAGATAACTCTACGACTTTGTTTCAGCCAACCAAAATTTGGTTACAATAACCAAAATTGCCTAACCAAACAATTTTGTTGCAAACACTAAATTTTTTTTCTCAGTGTATCCACCTAAAGAAATGATGTATTTGTCTCGATATAAATAATTATTTGTTGCAAATAAATATTTATTTGATTTAAATAAAAAATTTTTTATGACAAATAAAAGTTTTATTTACAGCAAATAAATGGAATAATATAGGTTCTGAGACAAATATACGTTTATTTAACTCAAGTATATTGTATTTGTAATAATTTGTTATATTAATAATAGTAATAATAAATATTATTATTATTATTATTATTATTAATATTAATAAATATTTTATTTTAAAATAATTGTTTACTTGACTACTATCAAATAAATATTTTTTTGGAACAAATAATTTTTTATTTGAATTAAAAAAAAACTGTATTTGAATCAATAATTTCTGTATTTTAAACAAGGGGCCGTCCATAAATTACGTAAGACTTTTAGGGGCGAGGGGGGTTCAAGTATTTCTTACGACCAATAGGAAAAATGGCGCTAATGCATGTAAAAAATCTTACATAGGGGAGGGGGGGGGGTTCAAATGACCAGAAAAAAGTCTTACGTAATTTATGGACGACCCCCAATTACCATTTTATTGACACAAATAATAATTATTTAATAGAAATAAATATTTATTTGCTCTTTAATTAAAAAAAAAAAATTCTAATAGATATTTTTATAAAATCTTAGTACGGGTGTTTAATAAATAATTATAGTAAAAATGGTTACAAATACGAATTTATTAGAGTCATTTAATTCTTAATAATCTGATAACAAAACAGTTATTTACATTTTTTTTTTTTTTGTTTGATTTTATGAACTTGTTAAACGATAATCATAAAAGGTTATAGCAAAGGAATTTAAGCTTCAGTTACAAAGAATAATACAATGATATTATTGTTATCAATACTTAGAAATTGAGAAGTAATTCTTTATCTAGTTCGAGTTCAGAAATAAAATTGATCCTTTGAATCGTTGGAACTACTATAAGTATAAAATATATATATATATGATTTTAAAAATGATAAAAAAATTTTTTTTTACTATTTAAAATTTAATTAATTATTTATTAGAATAAATATATTTGATATAATTATTTCTGTAGGAATATATAGACTTAACGTTTTCATTGTGAAATCAGAACGAAGATTTGACTCCTTAGATAGGCAACCAGCCATACGTGTCGGATTGAAAAATTGTGCCCTTTAAAAAATTCCTTCTTAACTATAAATATATTATTAATAATTTATTTATATCAAAGTAAAATTAACTTTATTAAAATTTTTTAAGTTATTTTATTTAAATAATTATTATTATATAGTAATTGTTATCTAAAAAAAAATTTTAATTATTTTTATTATTTCTTTTATTCGATTTTTTCTATTAAAATAAAATTAAAGGTTTTTTTGAAATTGGAAAAGGATTTAATCTCAAGGAATAAAAATAATAATATAATACAATTTTTTTTTGATGAAATAGAAATCATTTATTATTCTTAATTATCTAGATGACTAGAAATTTCCTTAATGTCTAAATTCAGATATACATAGGACTTGCTTCGATTCGCTTCTTTTTGAATTCGAAGACTTAATTTCATTTATAATAATTAAGTTACTCTTTGGAGGCGCTGCATCGTTGTTCCTCTAAGAACCAACAGTTTCAGGCTTTTGGTGGAACATCGTGGCATAATTCGTCTCAAAAAGAATTCAAAAAAAAAAATACACTCAAATTTTTGATTACCACAAAAGAATTATAATATTGTCTCGTGATAATCAAAAATAATATTTTATTTCATTTCTTAAACGTTTCTCATTCACTAGCCTTGTAGTGAGGAAAATCGAAAAATTAATTAACGTAATTAAAATGTGACATAAATCAGTTTTATTCTTTGAAAAAAGAAAAACTGTTTCTATTATTATTTGTTGTAAAGTTAAAATATGTAATAAATTAGAAATTACACTTTTTTTATGGAGTTAGCATTAAAAATAAAATTTGGTTTTTTTTTCATTTACAATAAAGATTTCGAGAAACGTTTTGACGTCCTAAGTTTCACGAAGGTCCACCCAAACCTCCATTAATCACCGTGAAAATTATTTACAAAATAGTACAATAATTCGACATTAGTACACCACTACCAGAAGCTTTAAATGTTGCAAAATAATCAAAAAAAAATTAATAGAAACGCTATATTACAATGTGTTAAAAATGTGAAAATAAATATACAAGATTTTTTTTTTGTTTCTTATAGTGTAAACGTGATCCACGAATTCTTTGGAAGAAAAAAATCCGTTGACACTAATAAAAATATATCTCTCGATTTTCCTATTGATATTTCAGTTCAATGATGACGGCTTATTTTCCGTATTTTGCTGCTTATTGCAATTGGAGTTTTCCAAATTATTCGATGATTTTTTGCCTACTTCGCTGAGTTTGCGAGATTTCCAATAATCTGTAATCAGAAAGAAAAAGAAATTGCATTTAATAAATATGAAATCAATTATTATTAAAATTTTATTTAAAAAAATTATTTTGTCATTTTCGTTGTAATTATCGATTTTGAAAGACAGAAAAAAAACCACTTAAAATTCTATGCGGTTTCTGCGATGTGACTTGAAGAATCAGAAACTAGATCAAAACAAGGAAGGGTTAAAAACAAGGTCAAGATTCAGACAATAAGGCATGTGCTGTTCAGTAAATGGGGTGCCAACTGAATTGAGAATGAATGGCAAGGTCACTAAAGACGTAAAAGTCGTTAGATGCCCCTTTACTTCAACCGTCAAAACTTGATCGAAATCGCCTAAAGCAAAAAAAAAAAAAAAATCTTAAGAATTTTCGATGTCAATTTTTATATTTTTCATATTATCATAAACTAATATTTTTTCAATTTTAAAAATGTATTATTTTCCAAACATATTTTTGTTTTTTTTTAAAATTATTTTTACATTGATTTATTTTCTGCATTCTTAGTTTTAACAGGGTGTCTACTAGTCCTGAAAGTCGTGGAAGTCCTGGAATTTGAATTTTTGTCCTTGAATTTTTTATATTTTACTTTTAAATTTTCAAAAATTTATAATTTTGTCAATCAAGTTAAAAAAAATTCATTAAATAAGTAAAATGAAAATTTACTTAAGTAATTAATTAATTTTTTTATAATTTCTGAAAACAATAGTTAAACTAAAAATTTTTTTTATTCCTTAAGGTCATACAATTTAATGTCCTGGAAAAATAAGTTTGTCCGGGAAAGTCCTGAAAAAGTCCTGGAATTTTAATTCAGATTTTTAGTAGACACCCTGTTTAAGACAATTGTTAAGACAAGTGATAAGTGAGCTGAAATGAACATAACCTATAAAATTATAAAGTACGATTGGACGAATCAAAATTATTTCAAATAAGCGCGCGCTTCTTCGTCCAATCGAAACGACTTTAATCGATTTTGAAGGTTATGTTACGTCACAAGTGCCTTTTTCCTCTAATGAGATTTATCATAGCGCATGCGCAGTTGCATTATAGATTATTTATTTATTTATATAATTCTCAATTATTCTAAAAGATTATAAAAGGTTAACACAATATTAATTCTGTTTACAAATTATTTGTTTCAGATAGAAAAGGTGATTGGAAATTTAGCAGCGTTACTTAACTTAACCGCGAATAGCTTCGGGAGTGTTCGAATTTTCTAAAATCGCGATCGATTATAATAATTAGTGTAAAAATTTTTTTTTTTTCGTTTTGAAAGTGATTTCAAGTGGGTTCGTCCTTGAGGATCTGTTCCATCAACGGGGGAAATTCATATCGGTGAGTCTATTTTGATTTTCTGTAAAAACTTATGTTCTTTGTTAAGGAATGTATAAAAATTTCGATTTTTAAAAACCAAATTTTTGTTTTTTTAAAAAATATTTTTCTGAAAATATTTTGAATATTTTGAGAACGTGAATTTTTCTACATATGACAAGGTCATTGTAATAAAAAGGTAGATTATTTTATTGCGTAGTATAGGTAACCTGACAAAACTATATTATTATATATAAAATCTCCACAACAAAGGGTCGCCCCACAAAACTACGTCGTCTTTGAGATGGTAGTAGGGTTCCACCCCTATTTTTGGTCAGGTAGCACCTGAGACCTTCCCTTCCTTTTTCTTTGCTTCGGTTTCTCCTCTTTTTTTGTCCCCACTCTTCTTCTTCTTCTTCTTCTTCTTCTTGGCTCTCTCTCTCCCCTATTTTGCCTTTTATTTTCAAAACAACACGTGGCAGGTGCAGTTCACAATTTTGCCAAAGGCAATCTCTTGCTGCAGATTTCGCGTTCTCCAATCGCTACAATACCTTCAAAAACCGGTCGTCGTCGTCTGCAATTCGTGTATATAGCGAAAAAGGGTTTAAAAAGAAAATTAACAAACCGCAATTAAATTAAACTGAAAATTTCAAAATTACTTTAACGTAATTTAAGAAAAAAAATTTATCCAGAAAAATTAATTTAAAAAATAAAAATTTTTTCGTTATTCCTCTTTTGAAAATTTTTTGTTCTGAAAAGAAAACTATTTTTCGAAACATGTTTTTGCAAAGATTTACCAATACCATATGTTGGATAAAAAAAAAAAAAAAAATTTCCTTTATTTTGTCTCATCGCGAGTTTGTTAACGGTCAACGCCATATGGCGCGCGAACTATTTTTCCTTTTTTAAAAGATCCGTTGAGAGAACAGAGAGATTTCTTCAACATCTGTTTTTTTTTTCTTATTCCTTCTGCGCATCTTCATTTTAAAAAATGTTTATAAATTTTTCCGCAATTGACTTTAAAAAAACAATCATTGATTTTGATATTCAAATTGAATTTTTATTTTCTAACGACTTTTTTTTCAGGCGCGCAAAATTTTCTTTTTCTTTCCCCCCCAAAAAAAAGAATAAATTCAATTTTTCATCCGTGAAAAAAAAAAAAATCCAGATGCAAGTCTAGGACAAAGAACGATCTGAAAAGTGCGTCTACCTGTGCGCGCGTGTGTGGATGAAAATCCCATGTGAGATTTTATATAAAGAAAAGACGCGTTCACCTAAAACTTTTCTTCGTTGAGTTTCTTTGTCCAAAAAGTGTATATATCGCGAGACTCGAACTACCACCACTACTTACGAATTTCTTTTACATTTTTTTTTCTATATATATATGATTTTTGTCTGGAAAGTCTTGCCAACGGACTTTTACCACTACAAGCAAAAAACTCCTCATATATATACATATATACACAAGGGATTTTTCCTTACGCCTTATGTGTCTCCAAGACAACAATGATCGTCTTCTTTATATATACATATATATATAAGAAACGATAGCGTGAATTCAGGTCGTCAGAATTTCCTTTATTCACCCGCGATTTACACACATAAGTCGTTTGGGTATTATAGGGGCTCAAGATAAAGAAGTATCAAAGTTCGATATAAAATTCACTATTCTTTTCAAAAAAAAAAGAAAGAAAGAAAGAAAAAGAAAACTACCAAACTTTTCTTGAAGTCACGCATTATAAACGCGTGAAGTCGATGAAACACCGAAACAAAATTTATTTACGACTTTTGACCGGAATTTATCGACTCGGAACTAAATATGTATACTAATTATCATAAATATTCATTTTCTTTAAATTTTTAAAAAACTGAAGGTTTTTTCATTGAGGAAAACAATATTAAAATACTGAGAAAAATTAATCTCTAAAGATATTTAATTTGAAATTTATGCATAAACTTAACTAATTAATTAGAAAGGGATTTTTTTAAATTCCACTCTATAAATAATAAATTATAATATTAATAATAATAATAATAATAATAATAATAACAAATAATTTTAAAACAAATAAATATTCGCTAAAACCAATAAAAAAACATTTATTTTTATGTTTGTTACAATTTTTTTTAATCCAAATTAATTTTATTCAATTATTTTGAGATTAATTGTCTATAGAAATATTTTTTATTCTTTTAAATTTCAGTCTATAAATAATAATAATAAATAATTTTTAAACAAATAAATATTCGCTATTTTCATTCTTGATTTTCTTTTATTTAAATTACAGAAAATTTTCATTGAATTATTAATGAATAATAATTATATTATATTATTATAACAAACTTAAAATAATTAATAAAAATTAATTTTGTTTTAAAAATATTACACTCAGAGAAATGGTATATTTGTCTCCGAGCCTACTAACTCATTTATTTGTTGCAAATATATTTCATTTCATTGAAATAAAAAACTTATTTGGGCCAAAGAAAAATTTATTTCTGACAAATAAAATTTTTATTTACGCCAAATAAATAAGTTAGTAGGCTCTGAGACAAATATACGTTTATTTAACTCAAATATATTTTATTTGGTTCAAATAAATCATTTCTCTGGGTGTATAACTAAACATAATATACTTATTTTTATTATTATTATTTATAAATTTAATTTATGTTAAAAAAAATTTTCCGTGATAATTCGTTTATGTTACTTTCTTTTTTAATTTAAAAGTTGATTTTTATACAGAAAAAAATGTCATTTTAACAGTTAATAGAATATTTCTATGGACAATTACTCTCAAAATAATTGATAAAAATAAATTTTAATGAGCCAAAAGTTTTGAACGTTCAAATGAATAAAATATTTTTGTTTAATCTATAAAGTATTAAAAATTATAATGTCAATGTAAAATAAAACAGTAAATTAAATAACTTTTTTTTTTAGATATTTAAAACAATATTTTGTAATAAAATTCGTACTTAAAGAAGTTGCAAAAAAATTTTGTTCATTTGAACGTTCAAAATTTTTGGCTTATAATTTTAATCAAAAAACATTGTAACAAATATAAAAATAAATTTTTCTTATTGTTTTTTTTTTAATTTTATTATAATAAAACCGAATTAAAACAACGAAGCTGTAGTACGCAACGTTTATATAATAAACGATTTTTAAAGAAATAATTTTTAAAATGAAAAATTCTCTAATTTTTTGCCTAAAAAATATTTTTTTTATAATTTGTTGATTAATGAAAACTACAAGATATATTTTTTAGGCAAAAAATTAGAGAATTTTTTTATTTTAAAAAATTTTTTCTTTAAAAATCGTTTATCATAAACGTTGCGTACTTCACCTTCGTATTAAAGCATTTTAAATAAAAGCGCCTATTTCTACCAATGATAGATTTATAGTAGCGCAAGCGCAGTTTTAATTTTCTTCCGTGATTATTAGAAAATTGATTTGATATTTAGTACAATAAAAATAATTATCGATTAAATCACTAAAACACATCAAATTGATGAAAAGAGTCTTAAAATATAACAACAGATATTATAATGAAAAAAAAAAAATACAACTTTTTCATTCTTCGAATTCGCATAAAGTTTTAACCTTTTTCTTTTACGACTTCTGACCCATTGAAAGAATGCACTTGAAGAAATCGTAATCTTGTTTCATAGTGCTTGGAACGATCTGCGTGAAACGATCGCGCATCGAACATTTTTAACACACGTGCGAGATGAGAGAAAGAGAGTGCGTATTACCCCGTCACAACTGCTTGACCATAATCGAAAGAAAAGATTGTTTAGAGGCACATATATACCCCGAGGAAGAGTCATTATAAACGCTTTTTTTGCCAACCCCCTCCCATAAAGTCCAACCACATTAAAAACACGATAAAAATGCTTTCAACAAAATATTGGCGTGTGTAAATTTTTTTTTTTCTTTTTACAAAACCATATTCTCAAATTGCCCTTTAGGCGAACATATAACGTAGACATTTTTATGTTATGAAAAAAGTATATCATAAAATAATTTCATTTTTATTGTTCAATTTTGACAAAAAATTTTATACGGGCTATGATTTTTTTTTTTTGGTACAATGCGAGAGAAGCTACTCAAAAAATTTCGGAGTAATTTATTTTGATTCCGTGATGCTTCTAAAAAAATTCATTAATTATGAGTAGAATTATTTTTTTGTCGAATTTTTAATTTTTCAAATTAGTATTTCATTTCTATTTAACTAAAATTCTATAGAATTTAATTGTACTTGACTAAACTTTCATAGAAAATATTTTTCCGATTCTCTATAGTTTACTAAATTTTTATAACTGAATTTTTAAAAACTAGAATTAAATAAATAAAAAGAATAAAAAATTATTATTGAAAGAAATTTTCAAAAATTTTTCCCACCGCAAACAAAAGTCAATTTTTCTCAAATAAGAATTTTTCATGTAATAAAAGCAAAATTTCTAAAGTGAGAGTGAGAAAGGTTAACTTTTATGATAGTGAATAAATTATGCGACTAGCCCCTTAGGGGGTTCGGGAAACATGAGCGAATGAAAATTGAGAACAGCGGGAAAATTCGAGGGGTCGTCGCGCTGAGTCGCATAATTTTTCCCACCAAGTTTTGTTTTGTTGGGAAAAGAAAAATAAACCCTGGGAATATATTTGAAAGAAATTTTTTATTAAATAAAAATTATTTTTTTTTATTTAAAAAATATATTTACAAAATCAAAAAATTTTTTTTTTATTTAAAAAATATATTTACAAAATCAAAATTATTATTTTCGTATCAGTATTAAAATGGGTTAATTTTTAATATTTATTTCGAAAGTTGGCTTATGAGAAAAAGTAGATATTTCCGCATCGACCTTGAGAAAAATTGAACCCCGCATAATAAATATAAAGAAAAGATTTCTCTGTCCTCGGAAAAAGGGATGCGAAAATGGGTTGACAATATTTTGAGCATTAATATTTTAGTGTCCCCAAGGTTCTTGACAGGTGTTAAACGTCCTTCTAAAGGTCCTGGACTAATATCGCGTGTGTTCATGTTCACAGTGTGCCTGATTTAATCGTGGGAAAAGACGTTCGAGCGAGTCTAAGTAAAGGGCAAAACAGGTGTCGCGAAAGTGCTCGTGCATTGTTTCGGTCGGTTGATTTTTCAAGGGTCCCTACACAACAAACAACACTGGGAATATTTTTCACTTGGTCAATGTGCATAGAAATTCGCTCTCCTCTCCTCGTGGGAGTAAACTATCCGGAAAGTAGGGAAACCAGTTCACTTGTTCATTTTTCCTGTCCGTTACCGTAAAGTTGAGTCATTTATCACTCATTTAGATAGCCGTGATTATATATATATATTGTCCGTTATAAAATTTTTTTTTTAATTTTTGCATTTTTTTCTATTTTTTTTTTTTATTTAATGATTCGAAATTTGAAAATTATTATTAGATTATTAACCTTTAAACTGCTATAGGTGCTAAAAAGTTACTTTTTACCCGGTCTGTCAGACCTATTCCTTTTTTACATTTTTCCAGTGATTTTAAATAATAATAGTAATAATAATAATAGTAGTAGTAATAATAATGATAATAATAATAATAATAATAATATTAATAATAATAGTAATAATAATTATTATTATTACCCTACCAAAAATTACCAGAGTTCACTACTGGCCCGGTACTGGTAACAATATCACGCCACTACTGGTAGTACTGGCGCTGTACTGCCCCAGTAGTTAATTTTTGATAGGGTAACTGTCGTGTATATTTTTTTTTTGTTTTTGTTTACATAATCACGAATGAGAAATTTTAAAATAAAATTTGAATTTTAAATTTTTAAACAAAATTGTCACCTAATAGTTTTTTTTTTTTAATTAAATGTGAAGTTTATATTTTCTAGTTTAAAAAAAAATAATAAAGAAAAACTATAGCAGTTTATAAAGATTTAAAAAAAAAAATTGAACGAAAATTAATTAAATATTCATAAATCTGAAAAAGGGTTCCCACAGATTGTTATTTAAAAAACGAATTATACAGGATAACTCTAATTTAAAGATGCGTCGCGTCGGTTGGGGGAACTTTTTGATTTTTATCAAGACGGATAGCCTATATATCGCCCTTTGAAATCTTGAGACAAGGAAATAACCGTTGCGGGTATAGAATAAGGGCGCGAGAATCAAAATCCAAGAAACTTGAGAATCTTGTAAAATATGTAATCATAGTTTTTAGATTTGCAAAATTATTGTAAAATATGCGTGGAATGTGAGTTTCACTCCCATATAGAAAATGATCCTTCGACAAAAGGTGAATCAGATCCTTTCAAATGTAAAACATTGGAATGCAACTTGCAAGTCAAAGCGCGTCTATATATATATATATATACATTTTTTCGCATGATTCATGGAATGTGAGTCATTTTTTAAACTCATTTTATATTTATGGCTGTTCAATGTGCTTGTGCTTCTAGATCATCGTTTTTTAAATATATTGGAATAAATTTTTTTCTTTGAAAAAATACTTTCTAAATTTTTGAAATAGTTGGAATTTAGCAGCTGATAAACATTTCAGTAAGATTTTCATTGAAATTCAGTTATATTTTATATTGAAAACGAGTAAAATTCTTCATGCAAAAAATTTTTTTATCTGAAACAGCGATATTTTTCTCTACAATAGCTAATACTTTCGCTGTTTTAGTGAAACATATCGCTATTTCTATTGAAACTTATCGCTATTCTAGTGAAACTTATTGCTGTTTCAGGTAAAGATTTTTTTTTCGTGAACTACTGGTTTAAACAGATATGTATGTTTTATCACACTGAAAAAAAATTTATTTGATTCAAATACTCGATTACTTGAGTATTATCAAATAAATATTTATTTGAAACAAATAATTTTTATTTGAAACAAATAATTTTTATTTGAATTAAATAAATTGTATTTGAACCAATAATTTCTGTACTTGAAACAAATACCATTTAATTGACTCAAATAATAATTATTTCATACAAATAAATATTTATTTGATAATAGTCAAGTAATCGAGTATTTGAATCAAATAAATTTTTTTTTCAGTGCAGTAGTCGGTACAACAGATTTTACTGTTCAAATTAGTGATAATTCTACTTGTTTTCAGTGGAGTATAACTGAATTTCAGTGAAAATATTATATTAAAGTTCTACAGTTACTAAATTTTAACTATTTTTTTTTTAGTAAAAAATTATAGAATGTTTAGAGAGTTTAGTGATAGTTAAAATTGTAACAGTATTGTTTATTAGAAAATTTCTTAAAAATTTTCTTCTTCTAAATAAGGCCTTTTCTGATAAATTTTACTAGTTACGTAAATATTGCAAACTATATTTTATAAATCGATTTGTTTATTTATTATTTTTATTTATTTACTATTTATTTATTAATTATTTACATTCTAAAAAGATTTTTCAGTTCCTAATGTTTAAAAATTTACAAGTCTATTCTATGGAATTATTTTGTTATTATTTATTTATTAAAAAAACATTAATTTTTTTCCATTTTCGGATTAAAAAAAGAAAAAAAGAAAAACAATGCTGTTACCATTACAACACTATCTATAGGAAATTAAATAGTAATTTTTTTTCCATTTTTGGAAAAGTATTCCTCCAGTGCTTTTCATTATGAAATGGGTCAGAAAAAAAATGTGGTCTCGTGTCTTTTGAGTGAGAGAAGTATGAAGTTTTTTTTTTCTTTTTTTTTTTTTTAAAGAAACGCGGTAGCTACTTGACTGGACTTGAGAATGATGCGTAAGACGAGAAGTAAAAGTGAAGGCTCACAAAGAGAGAAAAGAGAAATCATGGGAGGGGTAAAGAAGGTTGTCAAAAGAGACAGAAAAGGGGGATATTGAAAAGGAAAGAGAGAAAGACAGAGAAAAAGATAGAGGGGACAAAGGTATATATACGCAAAGAAAAACAGGTTCGAGCCACGCGACTCGCTTAATACGCCTCTGCGCCTGTGTAACTGCTTTCCCGTCAAACCTAGGAACACTGCCGATTATTTCCCGCCAAAACGTGTTCAGTTGGCGGGCGTAGGCAATATATATATATATACATTAAAAGTTTCAATGTGCGACCACCATTGGCTTCAATAATTGGTATCGCCCACGGAACCTCGGGAACGAAAATTTTTCCCTATTTAGGACCTCAAACGGTTTTGGTTTTGTCAATAGAATTTGTGTGGGTTGAAATAGTTTGAAAACAGTATAAAAAGTCAAGGTTTTCTTTTTTTTTTTTGGGAAAATTTAGATCTGAGAAGATAGGTAAAATTTTATGGTGGATTTTTGTTGATATTAATCTTACAAATTTTAATCTTCTAACAAAAAGCAATTTTTTTTTTCTTTTCAAATTTGTTAGGCAATTTTTTATTTTCGATTTTTGAACTAATTTTAATTTTTCGAATTCTAATTTTAATAATTTAATTTTTATATTATCAATTTTGTTTTTAATTAGTAGGGTCGAAAAACAGTTACTATTAATTTATGTATCAATTTTTTAATTAGAAATTGTTTTTACAATTAAAAATTGAATTTTTTTTAGACAAATTTTTATTTTATTTTCTTTTTGATTATTTGATTCTAAATAAAATCTTTTATATTTTTTTTTATATTTATTTTTAAAGTAAAGAAAATTCAAAATTTTTGGATAATTTTCGATATTTGAAGACTTTTCTCAGAATAAATAGAAAATAGTTTCTTATGTTGATATATATATGTATATATGTTGAATATCATGCGAGACAGGAAGAGGAAATTTCCATTTAGCAGCTTGGCTTTTTGCGTCTATATTCAAATTTCGAAAGAACCAAGAAGCCACTACAATTTTAAATTGCAATTCTTTCAATTCGAACCCAAAAATTTAAAATAAAAATCTATTTTTACAATTATCGTATTTTACATTATCATAAAAAAACAAAAAAACAATTTTCCCAAAATTAATTTTACACCAAAATAATTTTTTTTGTAATTTTTTTTTAATATTTATTATTAATTTTTAAAAATTAATAATTTTCTGAAAAAAAAATTATATATTTTTTAAAATTTATTTGTGTACACACACACGATAATATTTAGAATTAATTTCATCACATAAAATTTCAAAAATATGGAAAAAATTATTAATAAATAAATAAAATAAATAGAAATAAATTATTTGCCATGAAAAATTATTAAATTTACTGATTAGAAAAGGGAGAAAATTGATTTTTTCTCTCAAACATACATACATACACACACACACACGGTGAGAAAAATGCCACGCCGACAGAATTTGTAGGCGGGAACGACGACGACGATCGAGCCACGTGGTTTTCATGCGAGTAAAGAAACTTACGGATTTTATTAAAAAAAAAATAACGTATTGTTATTTTTCGAATAGTTCCAAAAAAATGAAATAAATTTAAGATAAAATAAAAAAATTTTTTTTTTTTTTTTTGAAATTAAAAAAAAAAACTTACCATGAATATTAGTTTGCCTCGAGTATGGACTGCATCTTTTTCGTGGTGATCTCTCAACTTTCTCAAACCTTGGAAGAATATTTTCCTTATCATTCTCTGATCTAGGATCAACTCCCCATTTACTGGCAAATCTTGTTCTCTCAATGTCCAAAGCATCTTGAAGAAGATCCATCGTATCCTTGGTGCTTGGACTGCCAAACAAACAGCGTGGCACCCTCGAATTTATCGTTGGGGGTAACACAGTAAAATGCAACTCCCGGCAAAATGATGCCGCCAACATTTTCTCTTTTTCCTGAATTTTTAAATTTTTATAAAAAAATCCTTTTTTATATGAGAGAGAAAAACGAAAACAAAATTTGAGTCACTACTCAATAATTCACTGTAACAAATTTTTTTTTTTTGTTTTTTGTTCAAATGTTTTTTACTCCGAAAATTATTTTTTTTTTCCGTTCACGTTTAATGGATACGATTTGAGAAAAAAAGGAACGAGATTTGACACGTATTTTTTTTGTTGTTGTTTAGAGTGATGATGAAAGTCTATTTCGAAATAGATGTAATGTCAAAGGCACTATTCGTTAGAACCTCATCAGAGGAAAGACGGGAGAGTTCTGCTTCGATCATAACGCTCAAGAGTCCGTTCGAAACCACGAGGTCGTCCCTTCCCATAGATTTTAAGTTTAAATTCTATTGGTGCGCTGGAAATATGCGCTGTTAAAACGCGCGCCAATTTTATCTATAGCCAACGTATTATGCTAATAAGCATAGAATCCAGGGCCGTCTATATTCTTTTTTTTTATTGTTTTTCAAACATTCCTATTTTGCTATATTCTGATCAACGAGACAAAAATATCTCTCCCCATACGTAATATTTTGTTTTTTTTTAATTCTTCTGTTTAAAAAAACAAAAAATAGTAAACTATGAAAAAACTAGTAAATCACAAAAAATAGAAAATAAAAAATTAATATAGTAATAAAAATATTGCTAAAATAGTATAATAGGTAAAATAGTGTAATACTAAAATAGTACTATAAATAACTATAATAGTAAATAATAGTTATTATTACTATTTTCGGTATTTAAAATTTTTTTATTTTATACATTTATTTCTTTTTGACAATGTGAAAAAATTTAAATTTTAAATTTTCACGAAATTGAGTTATTAAAATTGTTTTTTGAAATCAATACAATAAACTAATTATGAATTTTGTAAAAAATAGAAAAAATTAACAGAAAATAAAAAGTGAATTGGTTTCTAAAAAATAGTACTACACTCCTGAATAGAGGATTGACGAAGAGAGATAAGGGTGTCTCACTCTAATTTTTTTTTTGCCTCTCTTTCTTTAAGTAGCATGCCTTATAGAACGATCACGAATTGAATTGTGTCTCGGCAATATTGAATCATGAATATCTTTAGTTTATAGATATTTTTTCACTTGAGATAGAGAGAAAAGGAAAATAAAAATCCTATGGATTTTGATTTAGAATTATAATATGTATCATATAGTATAAAAAAAAAAATTCGACGCTCATATATAGCGTGATTGTAGTGACCGTTGATGCCGGTGTTCAAAATAAATAAGCCAATCAGAAATAAGCTCGTGTGGCGCATGTATGAGGCGGTAAAATTTTTCGCGGGACAAATGACATTTAAATGAATAGACTTGGCGCGATTATTTTCTATAAACACAAAACTATAATCATTTGAAATTTTTATTTATTTTTTTTTAAATTTGCTATTTTATCACTGGTGGAGAAATAAACAATTTTAAATAGTAGAAAAAATATATTTTATCTCAGGAAATAAATTAATATTTAGTTGTAAAAAAATATTTATTTGTTTTACATTTTTTGATTTGGTACAAATATAAATTTTATTTAGTTGAAAATAAAAATGCCATTTGTAGGAAACAAAACATTTTTATAATATTAATATTTTTAATTTAAATAAATTATTATTATTATTATTATTATTATTATTATTATTATTATTATTATTATTATTATTATTAACGTAACGTAAAGTAACGTAACGTAAAAATTGATTATTAAATTTTAAACAACTTCAGAAAATAATATTTATTTGATCAATATACGAATTTGGATGAAATGTTTCATTGGTGAAAAACAGGTGTTATTTAGATGCACTAAATAATTTAATATGCAATTTTTACAATGTAAATAGTGGTACCATCATATGCAAGGGGATATAAAAAACCTTGAATGAAACGAGTTACTTGGTTCAGTTGTTTAGTGGGTTTGTAGGTAAAAGTTTGAGTCTTCAGTATAAATACATTCATCGTTTATTTCATTCAAGACACAATTTTTACTTCTTGCTTCTATATATTTCCGGTTATACTGTTTATATACATTTTATATTACATTTTATTATTTTTATTTATTTATTTTTTATTTTATTTATTATTTATTTTAATTTTATTTATTTATTACTGTTTATTCTATTTTTTATTTATTTTACAATTTTTGATTTTTAATCTCATTTTTTGAAATAATAACTGTTATTTTAATCTATCAAATGGAAAATATTTTTCATTGACAATAAAATATTTGGTTAATATTTGTGCAATGTAATTTTTTTTTTTTTTGTTAAGACAGCAAAAAACTTTTTGTTTGTTGCGTCAAGTATAAAATTTAAAATACTGACATCACATTTAATGTATAAAAACTTTTGTCAGAAAATTAAAAGGCATTAAAATAAGCTGCAACGCTTATTTTAATGCCTTTTAATTTTCTGTGAGACTATATATAACCAAAATTTATAGTTAATACAAGAAAAAATGTTATCGTTTGTACAATAAAAAGAATTTTATTGTACAAATATCGACCAAATGTTCTATTGTCAAAATCAACTATATTTTTCCTCAAAAATGGTTTCTATGAAATGAATAAATAATAATAATAATAATAATAATATAATTTTCTTTTCAAATATATATAGAAATAAAAATTTCTTTAAAAGAAATTAACATTAAATATTTTTTTTTTGTATTTTATTTCTGTTAACCATATTTTATATATAAATATATTTAAAATTAATTAATATTTAGAAAAAAAAATTTGATAAGATATTTTAAATATCGAATTCTCTAAAAAAAAAAAAATTATCGTACACAATATGTTATATTGTTTCAACATACACAACTTATCCATTTCTTTGAAACAAAAGTAACATATATAATAAAATGCTGATTGAGCGCAAGTTTATTTTTCAAAACAATTCAAGCGTGCGTGTTCCATTTAAATTTTACCTACCAACATTTCTTTTCATTAGGTTTTATTAAATAGAATATATCGCTGAATCGAAATTATCCAAACATATGTATATATATATATATGTTCAGGTAAATTGCGATTGTACAATATATATAATATATATATATATATATTGTTCATTGTTATATATATGAAGTACACCTTGCAGCTTCACTATATTATATTCGTTTAAACAAGGGCTCGAAAAATATATGCTTTGCCGACTATATCACAGAAACTCATATGGGGGTAAATTTGACCGTTACAGAAAAAGCTTTCAGCTTTGTAAACGCATCATGCGGGTAGATAATGCATGTATGCTCACAACCATATGCACAGGTGGACGTTTCGTGACTATATACTATATATATATATGACCGAAAAGCGGAACGATGAGGCTTGTCCTAAATCCTATATGGTATATAACGTCATTCACGGGATTTTTTTTTTTTTAATTTTTTTATCCAGGGAAAGCATAAAATTAGATTCAAATTTTAATTAGGAGAAAATTTTAGTACTGGTAATATACAAATTAAAAAAAAAAAAATCGTTCTATTTTATTTTTTTAACGCTACGGTTCTCAAAAAGGGATAAAATATTTTTGATTTGATGAAAATTGTGATTGATCAATTTTAAAATTCGCGCCAAAATCTTTCGTTTGGTTCTTTATTCGGTAATTTTCAATTTCGGTCAAAATAAAATTCGTCGTTTTAAAAATTCTATCAAATAACAATTTGGACAAATGAAAATTTGAATTTCTGTCATTCAAAAATTCAAATCACTTAAAATTATATAAATCTTGATTGAAAATTCGGTTATTATTTTTTTATCCAGGGAAAGCAAAAAATTAGATTCAAATTTTAATTAGGAGAAAATTTTAGTACTGGTAATATAACAAATTAAAAAAAAAAACAAAATCGTTTTCTGATAATTTTATTTTTTTAACGCTACGGTTCTCAAAAAGGGATAAAATATTTTTGATTTGATGAAAATTGTGATTGATCAATTTTAAAATTCCCGCCAAATTCTTTCGGTTGGTTCTTTATTCGGTAATTTTCAATTTCGGTCAAAATAAAATTCGTCGTTTTAAAAATTCTATCAAATAACAATTTGGACAAATGAAAATTTGGATTTCTGCAAAAATTCAAATCACTTAAAATTATATAAATCTTGATTAAAAATTCGGTTATTAATTTTTTTTTTTTTTAAATAAACAATAATTAATCAAATGGCAAACATGATTGAGGATGAGAATAACTTTTAAATTTCCGGGTAAAAGAGTTGTGCGTGTGTGACTCAACCTCCGTCTGAATCATCATGAGGATTCGATCGCGTCGCAAAAACATCAAAGGAATCCCATATATATACTTTAAAAAAATGACCAAAAAGATAAAATGACAGAAAAGGAAGTTGAGACAAATTCCAATTTCTTCATTCGTCGCCTAAAATATTATTATTGTTCTCAGGCTCGATTGAGCAGAAATCGTTCGCAGTTACACAACATAAAAATTTAGTCGCATATGTGTGATTTATTAGTGCTTAGAAAAACCCCTTTCAACACATTCTGAAATAATGTCGTAGTCCCTCTTCAAAAATGTAATTAACAAGGTTAAAAATTTTTTTTTAAATAATACACTACATTTTAAAATCCTTAGCCTTACCCTATGAAAATTCACCTATTTTTGAAAAAATTTGCAAAGAAAACTGTTTCTTATTAACAATTGGAAAAAAAATTTTATTTTATCATTTTTTCATAAACTACCCGAGTCTTAATATTCAGTTATAGGCAAAAGATTTCCATGTTTAAGTGGCTGTGCGGACTGCGTATACAGTTTGCGTCCCAAGGGTCCTGGGTTCGATCCCCCATGCGTGGGAGATTTTTCTAAATTATTCTCAAGTATTTTTATATTCTTAATAAATTAGATAAATAAATTCATAATTAATTAAATAAAAACAGTTCTTCTGGTTTTCTTGCAAAAAATAAAATCCCCCAACTTGTTGTGGAGATTTTGCAAACCGCCATTAAGTGTTTAAAAAACCAATACATATAGATATCCGTTGGAAAATTGAAAAAAAAAAATTCACCAATCAAGTGCCCTTGTTCTCGTTGATTTCCGGTACCGATCCTCTAGACCGGAACTCAATCTTTTAGAGGGGATGTGACGTCACGTGACCCACGAATCAGGAGGATTCACTTTGCGGGGGGTTCCACCAGGATGTAGTTAATGTTTGGCCAGTTTTTGACCCCCTGAAGACGATTACCGTGATAATTTTCCATGTTCTGAACAATATAATGAGGATTTCGCAGGTGTTTCATAGACCACTGCACCTATATTGACGAGGTTCAATTTCCGCCTCTATATTTCCTTTTTTTTTTTTTTTTTTTTTTTTTTGTCTAAAGCAGAAAAGTGAGTAGTTAATTGACCACCAGTAAAGGGTTTTAACTGTCATGAGCTTTGATATGGGAATATTAATTTTTAGGGTGGGTAACAGTCATTTATTTTTGATTAATAACTATTTGTATTTTGCAAATTTTTCAACTCTCTTCCTGTATTATAAATTATTGATTTCCTTTTTTTTATGACTAAATTTATCATAAAAAGTATTTTATTTTTTTGTAATTCTATTATTTTTTGATTTCTATTTCTACAGACTTTTATCGATTTTTTATGTTTAAACAAATTTTATTACATCCCGTTTCAATTAAAATAAAATTATTTATAATTTATAAATTTATTATTAAATTATTGTAAATAATTTCTAAATAATTATTATAATAATTTTTCCTCTACAAATTCACACAGTTAGAAAATTAAACCATACATTAATTTTTATTGTAAATTAGGATGCACTTGAAGAGGATTTTAATTATTGTAAATTTTAATTTTATGCCAATATTATAGATTTCAAAATTAATTTAATTTAAGACTTATATCGCCTTATTTGGAAGCTATATAATATGAAGGTATCTTGGAATATCATAACACTCATTAGCCACGATGTTGAAAATTTAACGATTCGTTTTAGTTTTTTTTTTATTTTATATATCCAGATGTACATTAATATTATATGTTTGAGAAAACATGGGAGAATCTGAGTTTATCGTGACACTGGTATCTTGTATATGATGTTTTGGTATAAGTACTTGTAATTATTATTATTATTGTCAATCATTTTTAAACACTCGTCTTCCTTCGATTACGATTTTTTCGAATTTTGCAAAATAAGTGAGAATAAGCAAAATTATATAATATTCATTTTATTTAAATAGTTTTTTTTTGAAAATATTTCGAAAAATAATTTTTAATGTTTTAACAATTATATGTTAATTTTATTAATAAAAACTGTTTGTTTTTTGTTCCAGGTCAAGCTGAGGCATGGAATGCAGGAAATATTTAAAACTACGCAACAAATATGGTAAGTTTGTCTTATTTTTTTTCTCCAAAATTGCCTGAAATATAAAAAAAAAAAAAAATTGAGAATTCAAATCCGGATGTAGAAAGTTCGAAATATATATTTTCCTTTCAATCATTTTATATATAATTCGAATCGATTCGTTTGAATTGAAAATAAATTGATTCTGACACTTTCATTGGGGCTTATTTTGAAAATTTCGGTAAAAAAACCAGCCCCCAGCTTTCTTAATTAAACAATAATATATAGGATTTTCATGATGAAAAGAGGAATATTTTCCTTTACCACTTTCTTGAACAATAAGATTGACTTCAAAAGTGAAAATCAGAGAAAGACCTTTAAATCATTGAGCAATAAAATGTACATCTGCATTCGAGGCAGATGTTGCTTCGTCATCGAAAAGAGTTTATCTGTATGTGTATAAACTGGACCTTAGAGTACTTCTACCCTTTTGCCAAAAAGAAGCTTACTGACTAAAGCTGTCCAATTTTCTACGTTCCGGTATATATATATATATATCTTTACAGCTATATGTTTCTTCAGATTTGAATGTGTATAGTTATTTTAAATCACAGTATCTTTTCCAATGTTGCTTCCATAGTCTAATATGCGACTATACTTTATATACGGGTTACACAAATGTTGAGAGAGCAAAAAAAAAAGGGTTTACATCTACAAGCACAAGTTTCTATCTCACGCATCTGTCTATATATAGCTAGTGGTCTTTAAAAGCACGTACACGTCCCAGGTGCGTAGGTGCGATATTTTCAACGGTTTTTGCAGGTAAGAAAGCATTTCCTGCGGCCGCAACGTTCACCTTTTTTGGGTGAAGAGAAGTCTCTTTCTCTCTCTCTGGTACCAACCGGATGGTGCGTGCTCAAACATATATATATATATATTTTCTAGAAACTTGATAAAAAAAATTTCTTCATTAATTGGAAATGTATTTCGTCTAGAATTATTTTCATTAGTCCGAATTATTCAGTCCAAATTTCACTTGACATAAATATTTGCCATAAATTTCTCTCTGACATGAAACTTTTGTTTAGGAGAACAAATTGTTGAAAGTTCGAAAGTTTATTTGAGCAAATTTTTCAAAAATTCGAATTTTCATTTTATTGAAAGGACAGCAAAAGGTGAAAATTAAGAACATTTAGAAATTCGATCTCTCTCCTCTTTCTCGATAAGTTATTATTTCTTGTTCTCACGCTGTATAAATATATTTTTTTGCATTATAAAATAATAAATTTTTTTATTACTTTCTGCATTGCAATTGCAAATGTGTTCTTCTCTCGATATCAAGGAAATTTTATCATCTGTAATTATATCGTGGCATAGAATCGGTCTCGATATCGCATAAATGAAAATCAAATCAGGTGCTGAAATATTTTGACGAAGAATTTCATTTTCTTTTATACTGCAATTATGGTGTTTGTGCGCTTTAGCCTCGCGGAATTTAATAATTTTTTTTTTTTTTTTTTTTTTTTTTTTAGTGCCCATATACTTTACATGCCTCGATGAACAGGTGGCACACAGAATGAGATTCGCATTCTTGAAATGAGTGCATTTTATCCTGCGCTGAATTCCCCTTCGCGTTGAATGAATATACTGCGATTTTTATGTGTATAAATAATAATATTCCACTGAATTAGATTTTATGATAAAATGAAATATCATTTAGATAATTATTCTTCTAAAGGAAAATTGTAATAACGCGAAATTTTGATTTAACGGAATTTTTTTATTCAAACAACGTAATTAATCAGTGACAGATTATTGACTATCCAAAAAAAGAGCATATTTATTTATTTGCGAGTAGCACACACACTGAGACCTGGGATTTCATAGTTGTAAAATAATTGCACGGAAAAATATATAGTTAAAGTAATTTTATTCCTATTTTCTATTTCTCTCTGTATGGTAATGGATTTTTAGTAGTAATTTTTTGCATGTAGATTTTAGTTAGTTGTTACCAATGGTTGTAGAAATCATTAGTAACTTTGCATGTAGTTTTAGTTGTAGTTAGTTGTTACCGATCGTTGTAGAAATCATTGGTCATTTTTGCATGTAGTTTTAGTTGTAGTTAGTAATTACCAATGGTTGTAGAAATCATTGGTAACTTTGCACGTAGTTTTAGTTGTAGTTAGTAGTTACCAATGGTTGTAGAAATCATTGGTAACTTTGCTTGTAGTTTTAGTTGTAGTTATAGTTGTTACCAATGGTTGTAGAAATCATTGGTAATTTTTGCATGTAGTTTTAGTTGTAGTTAGTAGTTACCAATGGTTGTAAAAATTATTGGTAACTTTGCTTGTAGTTTTAGTGGTTAACAATGGTTGTAGAAATCATTGGTAACTTTTGCTTGTAGTTTTTGTGGTTACCAATGGTTGTAGAAATCGTTGGTAACTTTGCTTGTAGTTTTAGTTGTAGTTAGTAGTTACCAATGGTTGTAGAAATCATTGGTAACTTTGCTTGTAGTTTTAGTTGTAGTTAGTAGTTACCAATGGTTGTAAAAATCATTGGTAATTTTTGCATGTAGTTTTAATGGTTACTAATGGTTGTAGAAATCATTGGTAACTTTGCTTGTAGTTTTAGTTGTAGTTTTAGTGGTTACCAATGGTTGTAGAAATCATTGGTAATTTTTGCATGTAGTTTTAGTTGTAGTTAGTAGTTACCAATGGTTGTAAAAATCATTGGTAACTTTTGCTTGTAGTTTTTGTGGTTACCAATGGTTGTAGAAATCGTTGGTAACTTTGCTTGTAGTTTTAGTTGTAGTTAGTAGTTACCAATGGTTGTAGAAATCATTGGTAACTTTGCTTGTAGTTTTAGTTGTAGTTAGTAGTTACCAATGGTTGTAAAAATCATTGGTAATTTTTGCATGTAGTTTTAATGGTTACTAATGGTTGTAGAAATCATTGGTAACTTTGCTTGTAGTTTTAGTTGTAGTTTTAGTGGTTACCAATGGTTGTAGAAATCATTGGTAATTTTTGCATGTAGTTTTAGTTGTAGTTAGTAGTTACCAATGGTTGTAAAAATAATTGGTAACTTTTGCTTGTAGTTTTAGTGGTTACCAATGGTTGTAGAAATCGTTGGTAACTTTGCTTGTAGTTTTAGTTGTAGTTAGTAGTTACCAATGGTTGTAGAAATCATTGGTAATTTTTGCTTGTAGTTTTAGTGGTTACCAATGGTTGTAGAAATCGTTGGTAACTTTGCTTGTAGTTTTAGTTGTAGTTAGTAGTTACCAATGGTTGTAAAAATAATTGGTAACTTTTGCTTGTAGTTTTAGTGGTTACCAATGGTTGTAGAAATCGTTGGTAACTTTGCTTGTAGTTTTAGTTGTAGTTAGTAGTTACCAATGGTTGTAGAAATCATTGGTAATTTTTGCTTGTAGTTTTAGTGGTTACCAATGGTTGTAGAAATCGTTGGTAACTTTGCTTGTAGTTTTAGTTGTAGTTAGTAGTTACCAATGGTTGTAGAAATCATTGGTAACTTTTGCTTGTAGTTTTAGTGGTTACCAATGGTTGTAGAAATCGTTGGTAACTTTGCTTGTAGTTTTAGTTGTAGTTAGTAGTTACCAATGGTTGTAGAAATCATTGGTAATTTTTGCTTGTAGTTTTAGTGGTTACCAATGGTTGTAGAAATCGTTGGTAACTTTGCTTGTAGTTTTAGTTGTAGTTAGTAGTTACCAATGGTTGTAGAAATCATTGGTAACTTTTGCTTGTAGTTTTAGTGGTTACCAATGGTTGTAGAAATCGTTGGTAACTTTGCTTGTAGTTTTAGTTGTAGTTAGTAGTTACCAAAGGTTGTAGAAATCATTGGTAATTTTTGCATGTAGTTTTAATGGTTACTAATGGTTGTAGAAATCATTGGTAATTTTTTGCATGTAGTTCTTAGTTAGTTGTTACTAATTGTAGTTTCCAATGGTGGCGGGCATGTAATGCTTAATTTTCCTCTAAATTTCTATTTGTATATATCCTAAATAATTTTCTCAAATCTATAGAATCCCAGAGGTTTCAGTGCGTGTACAACTCGGACTTGTCCAATTTTTTCATTATTTATCTCAAATACAATTAATTGTGCTTTGCTATCAATATAACCTTCTAAATTGATAAAATATATTATTTCCCTTTTTATAATTAAAAAACAAATAATTTAAATTCAGTTTAAAAAAAAGTTTTACTTCTGTGTAAGCAAAACTCCAAGAACAGTGTTTTGATTGAATCTGTCGAATTGCAAATTTTCACGTGGTATATCTGATGTTAAATGTGAATAGCAATTTACCGCCCAGAAGGTTTTTTATGCGAATAAGAGAGAGAGAGAAAGAGTAAGAAAGAGAGGAGTAAAGAGTGCCGACAGAATCGTCTTTGGCGGTAGTTTCATTACTTTGAATGGTTGAACTCAAAGAGAGGCCGCTAAGATTGTAGATCATCTTCATTTTCAAGTCTCCTATTTTCTAGAGTCCTCTTCTTTCACTCAATCTCAGAACTTTGTGAATGTAATGGTTTAAAAGAACAATGGAGAATTACGCTTTTCGTTTGCTGCTATGTATATAAGCAGATGCTGCCAGGTGCTTGTGGACTCGATTGCCTAAAGGGTAAAGTTTCAATTTTTATTTTCTCTCTTTGACTCTCGTTTATACTTTCTTTCGTCCTCTTCTTTTTTCGTCTTCGTCTTCTTCTTCTTCTTATTTTCTCGCGACATATCTTGCAATGCATTTTTCAGCTGCCGATTTTCGATATTGAACATTAATACTGTAAAATTAAAAGTACAGTTTACGAAATTTTGAATGCCTAATAAAAGATGCAAATTTTTGCACAAACCTATATATATCTTCTTTAGCGTTTATATAAGTTTAGAATATATAATTATTTGTTTAAAAAAATATATTTTATGAAAACATGTAATGTTTATCGCTTATTAAGTGACAGGCTATTGAGATTTATTATAAATGTTTGATAGACAATTTTTTTCCGTTTAGAAAGCATTAATGTGACGTGAAGAAAATTTATGATCAACTTTGTATGGAAATGAGAAAGCAGAATCATGTATATT